CCATACATTAAATAACCCCAGCTCTGTTCTCACAGGGGAGGTGCTCCAGCCTCCTGACCATATCTGTGGCTCTCCTTGATCAGCAGGTCCATGGTCCATCTGTGCAGGTCCATGTGCTCCTTTAGCTTGGGGCCCAGAGCTGGACACCATTCTGCAGGAGGGGTCTCAAGAGAGGGGAGCTTGGGGGTGGAATTATCTCCCTGGACTTGCTGGCTTTTGGTGCAGCCCAGGGTTTGATTAATTCCTGGGCTGTGAGTAGACATTGACAGGACACACTGAGATTTTATCCACCAAACACCCTTTAAGTCCTCCCCTTCAGGGCTGCTCTCAATCCCTGCACTGCCCAGCCTTGGGATTGGCCTCACCCCCAGCAGGACCCTGTGCTTGCCCTTGCTGAACTTTCTGAGGTTTGCCCACCTCTGTCCTGCCAAGGTTCCTCTGTAGGGCATCCCTTCCCTTTGGAACATCAACCACAGCACTGAGCTGGGGGAGCAGCACCTCTGCCTGGAATGCACCTCACCCAAAGCAAGGACTTGCAAGTTAGGCTGGGCTGAAGCTTCTCCAGGGAGCTGCAGGGGCTCTCTGTGTAAATACAGACAAGAGTCACCCACACAGGACCTGCCTTTGCTAATCCTCCACTCCCACCTTTGGGCTGGCTGGGCAGGTAAGCCCACATTAGGCCAGGTGATCTGTGCACTAAAAAATAAGTCAGGATAGGGGAGGTGGCTGTCTCAGCTCCCATCAGAGTCAAGGAGTTTGCAGAGGGAGTGGGAATGTGCTCACCCTAAAGGTAACATCACTGTGGCCACGCTACTCCTCCTTATGGCCCCATGGACAGCTCAGTCTCAACCCCAATTTCTTCCCAAGCTCTGGTCTTCCCTTATGTTAGATTATTACAAAGATCTCTGCATCACAGTGCTTTTTCAAACCTCTTTTCAGTCAGATAAATGGCATATGGATAAATGAGTTAAAAATCACAGTGTCTCAAGTTTTAGAAAATGAATGTTGTAATATTCAGTGAATTTGGAGACACTGTGGGGAAGTTCTAAGAGAAGATGGCAGCTGCTCACCTGCACCCACAGCCCAGGATGACCGAGCCATTTCCCTGATGGGAAGTTACTACCTCTATTTAGCTGCTGAAACAAAAATCCAATTTCTTACAATAAACCACAACTTTTTTATTTTCCCCTGTAAACTGTTAAACTATTCCCAAAATGGAATTTCAGAGAATTGTAGAAACAAGAACTTTCTGCACATTTCCATTGCCTTTGGTGAATACTCTGCAGGGATACTGTAATTTTTTCTATAACAGTTTCCTCCTTAATGTCAGTGAATAATTCCATTTTAAATCCTTACATATTTAATCCTATTTTCTGCTTGAAAATTGCAGATTTTTTTTTCCCCAGATCCAAAAAGGAAAACCACTTTTGGTAGGAAATCACATTTTCTAACAATCCACAGTTAATGCTGTGGATTCTTTGTTCTCATTTTCCATTACAACAATAGTATTTTCACAGAAGCTTGGGGGAGAGAAAAAGCAATTTGCTTTCAACTCTAATCCAGCCTTTCTCTTTTGCCTCAGTAATCCCCCTAACACAAAAGTGAGATTGAGCTCCAGCAAAAACCTGAAATACAGAAATGCTGAGACAGGTATGATTCATGCCTGCCTTCCCTCAGACCTCTCCCAACACATGGGGAGTGTCTCTGAAGCTGACTCTGTTAAGGAAGATTATATATTAAAAAAGATAAACAAGCATTTTCAGGTCATTTCCTCTTTCACAATATAATCATTGCCACAGGCAGCAAGTGGAATTATTCATCCTTCCAGTATTTTTGGCAGAAAGAGCAAATACCTTCAGCACACTCCTGTTTCTGTGATCCAACTTCACACAAGCTACAAGAAGTCATTCTCAAATTACAAGATAAAACAGCACAGCTCTACTCAGAGGAGATGATTGCAAACCTACCTCCAACAGAAGACTCCAACAACCTTCCCTTATAGGATTCATGATGCCTTTGTTAAGGGAAATGATGGGATTCAAAAAGAAAGCAAAATCCCAAATCACCTTGCACTTCTGGTCATTCAAAAAAGAATAACAATAATATAATTAGCAAAACTAGATTTTCTCACCATGGGGCTAATTAAAAAGTTCTTGTAGTGCTTCATGTCATGTGCATCAGGACACGTGCAGATGAAGGAACCTTGTGGTAATTGGAGCAGAACTAAAATGGGAATTTTCATGGCAGTGTAGTCACTCCTCCCATTTGCAAGATGAAAAACTGCAAATTATAACTCTCCCAACCACAGACTCTCAAGTTATAACTCTCACAACTTGCTGCCTGGAGCTTGTGTTCAACTGTGCTTTGAAATAAAAAAGTTCAGTCATTGCTACAGGATTGTTTATCAGTAAAGCCTCCAGGGCAGTGATTAAAACACTTCTCTGCTCCTTTACAAAGAAAATTTTTCTGGTTATACAATAAAAACTTGGTCTACACATACACAAATGGGCACAAGTGCCCACCAGCAGGTAGAGAAACCAGAGAGAAACCTAACCAGAGAAATGGACACTGATCCAGCTCTTCAAGGGCTGTCCCAGGAGATCCAACAGCCCTGGCTGGGTGTGGGACCTGTTCCAATGGAAGCAGCTTTGGGGTCAGCTCACAGCCTGGGGCAGAGTTAATGCCCAGGAGATAAAGGACCCATTATGGGATGGAGGGAGAAAAGCATCTGAGATGGCTCCAAGGTTTGCTAGGGATGTTTAGGGGAGGAACCACACTTGTCTGGCCATGCTCTGCTGCTGCTCAGTGCAGGATTTCCTGCCTGGGTAGGGATCTCTATTCTGTGTGTCCATGGTGCCACTGGGCTGCTCGGCCACCTGGGCACACTGAGCCATTGTCACCCAGCACGCCCAGGTCCTCTCAGCTTTCCAGGCCCTCCTCCCTGAGCCTGGAGCACTGCATTGTTGCAGGGTGATGCCATTTCCTGGTTCACCTATCCCACCCCCCCAGGTGTGCCAACCTCTCCTTTCCCCTTTGCCCTCCTGCTAAGAGCTGCCCATCAATGTTAACATCCCAGCAGGGTCGTGGTGTGGTTGGCAGGAGTTCAAAGATGCCCCTCAGGTCTGGGCTCATTGGCCTGTCCAAGTGTCTTTGTCCCTTGAGCCTTCCCCTCCTCACACCTGGTTGGTGGCTCACCTGTGCCTTCCCCTCACCTGTGCCCTTCCCCTCACCTGTGCCCTTCCCCTCACCTGTCCCTTCCCCTCACCTGTCCCTTCCCCTCACCTGTCCTTTCCCCTCACCCTGTCCCTTCCCCTCACCTGTCCCTGCCCCTCACCTGTCCCTTCCCCTCACCTGTCCCTTCCCCTCACCTGTGCCTTCCCCTCACCTGTCCCTGCCCCTCACCTGTGCCTTCCCCTCACCTGTCCCCTCCCCTCACCTGTCCCTTCCCCTCATCTGTCCCTTCCCCTCACCTGTCCCCTCCCCTCACCTGTCCCTTCCCCTCACCTGTCCCTTCCCCTCACCTGTCCCCTCCCCTCACCTGTGCCTTCCCCTCACCTGTGCCTTCCCCTCACTTGTGCCTTCCCCTCACCTGTCCCCTCCCCTCACCTGTCCCCTCCCCTCACCTGTGCCTTCCCCTCACCTGTCCCCTCCCCTGTGCCTTCCCCTCACCTGTCCCTTCCCCTCACCTGTGCCTTCCCCTCACCTGTGCCTTCCCCTCTCCTGTCCCTTCCCCTCACCTGTCCCTTCCCCTCACCTGTGCCTTCCCCTCTCCCTGTCCTTTCCCCTCACCTGTCCCCTCCCCTCACCTGTCCCTTCCCCTCACCTGTCCCTGCCCCTCACCTGTCCCTTCCCCTCACCTGTCCCTCCCCTCCCCCTATCCCTGGGGCTTAAAATCCAGACCATGGGGTCTGGATTCTGTTGGGAGCTGTTACCAGATTCAGAGTCTGTCATTCTGGAATAAACTCTGGATTAAAACTCTACAATAGAATCCTCTCCTTTCTCTTCACCGTCCCCTGAACCTTTTCCACCAGAGGTAAACTGAGTTCCTATTTTGCCTGGATTTGTTCTGAGTGCCTAGCTGCAGCACCCAGCTGGCCAAAGGTATCTCTGAGGTGAAACACCACAGCTGCCGCCTTTGGTCCAGCAGCGAGGGTCAGACAGAGCCAGGCAGGACACACCCAGAAATATTGGGATTAATATTTCATATAATGCATGGATTTGCTGTGACCCAGGTGCAGGACCCAGCTCTTGGCCCTGATGAGCCTCCTAGCACTGGCCTTGCCCCATGGGTCCCCAGACCCCTCTGCAGAGCCTTCCCACCCTCCCAAAACCACCACCCAGGCTGGTGTCTGCCAGCTTACTAAGAGTGCACTCCACCCCCTGTCACTGTGGTATTTTATGGAAAATCCCTTTGCCAGGATTTCTTCTCCTGGCAAGATGAGAAGCCTCAGCTTCTCCATGTTTTGCTCCTCTGGAATGTGATTTGGAAAATTGTTTACACAGCATGTGAATTGTTTTAACTTAATGACCAATCCCAGTCCAGCTGTGTTGTGACTCTGGTCAGTCATGAGGTTTTATTATTCATTCTTGTTTAGCCTTCTGATGTCTCCTTTCTCTTTCTTTAGCATAGTTTTAGTAGATCATTTTATTCTAATATAATAAAATAATAAAGCAGCCTTCTGAGAACTTGGAGTCAATTCTCATCTCTCACCTCGTCCTGGAACCCTCACAACACCACAATTGGTGAATACAACCCCCCCTTCCAGATCACTGGTGAAAGACACAAAAAAGGACTGGTGCCAGTACTGAGCCCTGGGGAGCAGCAGTTCTGATGGGCCACCAGCTGGGTTTAACCCTTCCCCACCTGGCACTCCACTGGCCAGGCTGGTTTGTACCCAGGGGAGGGAATGCCCATCCAGGCCAGAAGCGGCCAGGAGAGCACTGTGGAAAATCGAGTCAAAGGTTTTACTCAAGTCCATGGTTCAGTGGAAATTAAGGGGTACAAGGAAGGGAAATACCAACTTTAATTAGGGAAATCAGTGTCTTACAATTAGTGATAGAATGTGTAAAGCAGATTAACAATACAAATGGTGCAGAACTACCACTGCTACAGAAAACTCTGCATTAAGCCTTGCTGTCCTTAATACTGTGTTGCAATTTAGCAGCCAGCCCAGAGCCAGCCCCAAAGCAAGGCAGCAGTGCAGAACACTCAGCTCTGCCAGAATGAGACCCAAACTCCAGGACCAGCCTGCTCACAGATGTCACACAGATGTCCCCAGTATGTACTGAGCAGAGACAGGAGGGTCATCTACACTTCACCAAGACTGATCCTTCAGCTGCTCTGACTACAGCATGGCATAAACCAGGAATGAGTGGGCTGCTGTTGTTGTGGATGGCAAAGAGCAGGTCTTTATCTGCCTCAAGTGCCTTTTCATAGAATCTTCTAGCCCCAGCTTACATCACAATAGGAGAATTTCTCCAGAAGTACTGCTGTAATAAACTTCACTGCTCTGTGGACTTAACACCCTGCAACCCACTTTGGGATATGGAAGTGGGTCAAGGGAAGCATGTGGGTACATTTTCTGTCACTGTGAGGTGATAAAACTGCAATTTGCTGTACAAGGGAAGAGGTACTGCTTCCCAAGGCAGAGCAGGCAGCTGGGATATCCTCAGTGCCCAGGGAGGGAACACCTGAACACCAGCACCGCCTCATGGGATCAGTGAAAGAAAACCACCCTGGTCTGAGGTGAGCACAAGGAAGGGAATAGAAATGCTCCTCTGGACTAAAGCTGAGACTAAAGCTCACACAGGGATGTACCACCCAGCTTTCCTGAGCTCAAGCTTAGATGGGCACTCAACCAAGGCAAAGCAGTCCAGGGGGCACAATCTGATTGTCACCCCTTCCTCTAGAGGCTGGCAAAGCAAGGTTCTCCCTCATCCCTGCCACAGCACAAGGGGAATGGAACCCTGGAAGGGTGTAACTCTTTGGATTAGACTCAGCTGAAGGTACTGACACATCAACCTGCTACCAGCCACAACAGAGGGCAGAGTCTCCAAGCAATTTGTATTCAGCACCCTAAGATGCATCTTCTCCCACAACCACCAAGACCAAGAAAGAGACTTTAGCTCTTCTGCTTTGCCTGTCATCATGGGGAAAAACAGGAAGGGCAACTTCCAGTACCATGGAGGAATTCCAACAGCATTAGGACCTGTTTCCTGCTGCCACATCTCTCAGGGGAGAAGACATGACACCCCCAGCTGATTTGCCAGACCATGCAAAGGGAAGATGGGCAATTCCACAGCCACAGTCCTGTGAGGGGCTCCTGCCCTTCCCCAAATGCAGGTGATGTTAACATTCAGGTGGCAGTAAGAGGGATGGTTCCTAAACTGGGGATGCACACAGTGAGATACAGGGGAAAGGACTGCTCACCCCTTCTGTATGTGGATGGGGAAGTGGCAAGGGGCAGGGCTCCCCTCTTTGATGGGCAGCCACGTGAGCTCACACCATCAGGGCCCAGCCCAAGCGGGGAGGCCTCAAGCCACAATGTCCTTCAGAGCTGCAGGCAGCTCAGGGAAGATGAAGCTGTAGCCGCTCTCCAGGGTGCGTTTGGGCAGCACCCTCTGTCCCTCCAGCAGCATGGCTGCCCTCTCTGCCCCAAACACGGCCCGCACGGCCCAGGCGGGCACCGGCAGCAGCGCCGGCCGGCCCAGGGCTGCCGCCAGCTCCTGGGCAAAGGTGCCATTGGAGGTGCCAGGCGAGGATGGGGCAACGCCGTTGAGGATGCCTCGCACAGACTCCTTCTCCAGGGCGTGGCACACGATCCCAGCCAGGTCCTGGATGTGGATCCAAGGGAAGGGCTGCAGTCCAGAGCCCATGGGGCCTCCGAGTCCCAGGCGGAAAGGCAAGAGCATCTGAGAGATTGCGCCGCCATCGCGACCCAGCACTACACCTGTGGGGACAACAGAGTGACACCAGGTGCCCCTGCCAGAGGGCAAAACCCCCTCCACACCCACACCTACCAGCAGAGCAGGAGAATCCTTAAGGGGCTGACTGGCTGGAACAGCACCCCAGCAAGGAGAGACAGAAGAACTGGTGCCCCTTAACCAGCTCTCCCCACTCCTGCCCCAGCAGTAAAGCAATCACCATTAATAATCATGATGCCCCATCTCACCTGATCTCACCACAACACCACGAGTTGGGCTCCCAGGGATGAGAGCTGCAGCCTCCCACGAGCTCACCAGGCGGGAGAAGAAGTCAAAATCCCCTCCTGCACTGTCTTCAGTGTACTCAGCTGTGGGGCTGGGGCGGTAAAAACCTGCAGGGTGACAGCAGAAAGGGGCTCAGGGTTGAACGGGCACACCAAGCCCCCCCTTCCCCATCAGACCATCTTGTCTGCCTCCAGGAGCCCAGAACTCCTGTGAGGAAAGGCTGAGAGAACTGGGATGGTTCAGCCTGGAAAAAGAGACCAAACTGCAACCTTCCAGTGCCTGAAGGGAGCCTACAAGAAAGCTGGAGAGAGACTACAAGGGCCTGGAGTGCCAGGACAAGGGGGAATTGTTTCAAACTGAAAGTCAGTTTAGACTGGCTGCTAGGAAGGAAATCTGCCCTGTGAGGGTGGGGAGGTCCTGGCACAGGGCGCCCAGAGCAGCCCTGGCTGCCCCTGGATCCCTGGAAGTGTCCAAGGCCAGGCTGGATGGGGTTTGGAGCACCCTGGGACAGTGGAAGGTGTCCCTGTCCAAGGCAGGAGGTGGGACTGGATGGGCTTTAAGGCCCCTTCCAACCCAGCCCATTCTGGGATTCTGACCACTCCACCAGGGATAGCCTCACATCAACAGCACTGGGTCTCTGATGGCAATGCTGGCAAGTTTTTGGAACTATAATGTGCTTTAAAGGTTCAGCAGGATGCACTAACACTCAGGCAGCCCCAAAACCCAAACAGGGTTGGCCTGCAAGCAACACACTGAGGTGGCTGGAAGGTGCCTGCTTTAGTATTGGGCATCCCAGAGGATAAAGCATGGCAGCTTTAATGATAAACCTCAGGTTTAAAGACTGCAGCAAGCAGGAAGTTGGAGATTATGCAGAGGGCTTCAGCTGAGGCCTTACTGACATAAATTGATTCTACAAGATGCCTAAAGGCCTTCACAGGAAAACACAGAACTGCCCTAGCCAAAGCACAGGGAATCAAATTCCTCTCCAGCAGCACTAAAAGCTTATCAAGGCTTGCCTAAACACAGTGACACTGATGGCAACAAAGCTGACATTTCAAGGCAAGAAGGTGCTCCTGAGGAATTGTGTTTCTGTCTGCAGGTAAGGCCTCTCCAGGTCAGCATGAGTGCTGTCTTGGCCAAGCCCAACCAATACCTACGCCAGTGACGAGGACCCAGGCACGGGGAGGCTGCTCAGCAGCAGCGATGGCTTTGGCCAAGGCCTTGGTGGTCTCCACCCGGCTGCTGACGACCTCCCTGCAGAAGACATCATTCCACCTGGGAAAGGGAGAGCCAGGGATTAACCAGCTCACAGGACACCCCAGGGAGCACTGCCACCCAGGGGGCCCCGGCCAACACCAGCTCACAAGATCAGGGTGATGCCTCAGGTTTTGGATTTTCTATTTTTCAGGTTCTGTGCTGCTTTAGTGGGTGGGTCTGGGCTTCACATCAGGGGATGGTGAGCTCTGTGCACAGAGCAGGGAGACAAAACAATTCCAGCTCCAGCTGGGGACCAAGGACAAATGATCCAAATCTCAGCCCAAGAGCATAAACAGCTTGGGCTGAAGAGAGAAAAACAAGCAGGATGGGGCTTCATGGGTTAAATCTGTGATGGACAATTAATTCCAATATGCAAATGGTGCAGAGCTTATAAAAGTGAGAGATCCCGTGAGCAGTGGGGCATTTTGTCACTATTTTGGGTGCAGCCCTGGCTGGGCCCTTGTGCTGCCCAAGGTGGACCCATTGAGGCCTCCTAATAAATCTCTGCTTTATTCTTGAGCTCTGTCCAGTCTCTGTTCTAGGCCAGGCTTAACAAGGCATTAAGGAGAGGTCACAGGAACTCCCCTCACCCCTGAGCAAAGGGAGGACATGTTTCAGCACAAAGGCAGGGGAACTTTGGGAGATGGTGGCTCTTGACTTTCCTTACAAGACTGTGGGGTTTGGACTGGCTTCAGACAAAGTCAGCAGAGGAGCTAGACACCAAAGCTGGTGTTCTTCCCAGAAGTCAAACTCTGGATGTAGGCATGCCACCCAATGTCCTTTTGGAAATGTGGAACTAATGTTTCTGGCCTCCAGCTGTAGATGCAGGAGGAAACCTTTCTTCCAAAGATCTCTCAGAACCTACCAGGCCCACAGAAATGTTCTGGTTACTTGAGGGTGCAAATGTCAACAGCTGGTTAACTCAAGAGCTTTGTGGTCATGTTGTTTCCTCCTTTTCCACATTCCCTGACAACACTGGCCTGTCTTGCCTCCACCTTGTGCCAACAGCACTATGGAACATCAAGTTACCTGCGGAAAGGGTTGAGGACATTTTCACCAGCCAAGTTGACCACAGCTTCACACAGGGGCAGCCCAGAGTGGGACAGCTCCTCCTAGGCAGGAGTGACAGAGACATCACACATCAGGCCTCCCCTCTGCTCAAGCCTTCCCTGCAAACAAGCAGAGCAGGCTCCCAAGAACTTCAGCCAGTTTCTTCCTGACATTTGCAGAGACAAACATGAATGGATAAGGCTTTGCTTCTTGGTGCTACAGCAGTACCCATTCCAGTGACTGTGACCCATTTAACACCCAGCAAAAGGACATCCAGAGGAGCCAGACCTCCCTTGGCAGGGTCCCTCCATGCCATGGAAAGCCAGGGCACGCAGCCTGCTTTCTCAGCCCTGTCACATTCCCCCTGCTGTGACGGCTCTCAGCTCATACCCAGCTGATCCGATCCTTGCCCCCTCTTCGCGACACATGGGTCACTTGGTGCCCTCGGCTCCGCAGCAGCTGGGTCAGGGCTCTGCCCACGAAGCCTGTCCCACCACCTGGTGAGAGAGCCAGATAGACAGACCGTCAGGGCTGTGTTCCTGTGCCACCACCCCTCTGCAGCACAGGCGGCCCGTGCCTGGGGCCGCATCACCGCAGCACCGCCCGCGCACACGGCCAGCCCCCATACCCGGGGGGGAAGCGGCGGCCTGGCTCCAACCCAGCGGGCAGCACCCACAACCCAGGCCCGCCTGGCCCTTCTCCAAAACTCCGTTCCACTCAACACTCCCGCTCCCTCACGGGACCCGCTCCCTCACGGCCCTCGTTCCCTCAGGCGGCAGCTCCCTCACGCCCCACTCTCTCCGGCTCCCGCTCCCTCAGGGCCTCCGCTCCATCAGGGCCCCCGTTCCCTCACGGTTCCCGCTCCCTCACGGGCCCCGTTCTCTCTCTGTCCGCCGCTCCCGCTCCCCCAGGCCCGCACTCACCCACCACCACCCGCATGGTCGCGCCGCGCATGCGCCGAGCAGCGCCCCTCACGCGTGCGCCCCGCGCCGCGCACAGCGCCCCCCAGCGGCGCGGAGGCCCTTAAAGGGCCAGCGCATCCCAGCGCCGGGGCCGTGCTCGGGAATGGGCGGCGAACCGGGCTGGAACCGGGCTGGGGACACTGAGGGCGTCCCAGGGCTGAGGGGACACTCAGGGAACGGCCCGGGGCTGAGGGAACACTCGGAGAACGGCCTGGGACCAAGGGGACACTTGGGGAACGGAGCAGAGCGGGGCTGAGGGGACACTCAGGGAACGGCCCGGAGCTCAGGGGACACGCGGGGAACGGAGCAGCCCGGGGCTGTGGGGACACTTGGGGACCGCCTGGGACTGAGGCGACACTTGGGGAACGGAGCAGAGCGGGGCTGAGGGGACACTCAGTGAACGGAGCAGAGCGGGGCTGAGGGGACACTCGGGGATCTCCTGGGCCCCTGTGCCTGGCTCGGAGCTGAGCAGGGCAGCACCCGGACACAGCAGCCCGAGGAATTGTCAGGGCAATTGATCAGTTCGCTAAAAGCGCAGGAGTGAACGCCCAGAGAGGCTCTGGCTGCTCCATCCCTGGCAGTGCCCAAGGCCAGGTTGGACAGGACTTGAGCAGCCTGGAACAAGGGAAGGTGTCCCTGCCATGGCAGGGGTGGGGCTGAGTGAGTTTTAGGGCTCCTTTCAACCCAAAACAGTCTGAGATTCTATGATTCTGTTATTCTATTAAGTGTTTTTAATATTGCTAGTAGAAAACAAAGAATGGTGCAGTTGGGGCTGTTCTCATTGACCCTGAGCCTCCCTTCTCTCTGGCACCCACTTGCACATCTCCTTGGGGTCATGGGAAAATAAATTCATTCAAGGATGCGATTCTGCCACTGGGCTTGAAATGTCTCTTCTGAGATGCCATGAAACACACATTGGAGACACAGCCTCCCACCTGCAGGCGGCTGGAGCAGCCTTTGCTTCATGCAGAGTTGCCTGTGTTGTCAGCTCCTTTTAGCTGTGTCCTGTGAGGAACGGAGGGTGACAACAGCCTGTAGGCAAGATGTCTACACACTGGGGGCTCTTCTGGAGCAGGAACAAATGGCAGAGATATTTCCACCTACCTATCCAGCTTAGTCCATCCATCCATCATCCATCCATCCATCCATCCATCCATCCATCCATCCATCCATCCATCTATCCATCCATCCATCCATCCATCCATCTCTGCATCATCCATCCATCCATCCATCCATCCATCCATCCATCCATCCATCCATCCATCATCCATCCATCCATCATCCATCATTCATCCATCATCCATCCATCCATCCCTCATCCATCCATCCATCCATCCATCCATCCATCCATCTCTGCATTCATCCATCATCCATCCATCCATCCCTCATCCATCCATCATCCATCCATCCATCCATCCATCATCCATCATTCATCCATCATCCATCCATCCATCCATCCATCATCCATCATTCATCCATCATCCATCCCTCATCCATCCATCCATCCATCCATCCATCATCCATCCATCCATCCATCCATCCATCCATCCATCATCCATCCATCCATCATCCATCCATCCATCCATCCCTCATCCATCCATCCATCCATCCATCCATCCATCCATCCATCCATCATCCATCCATCCATCCATCCATCCATCCATCCATCATCCATCCATCCATCCATCCATCCATCCATCCATCCATCCATCATCCATCCATCCATCCATCCATCCATCCATCCATCCATCCATCCATCATCCATCCATCCATCCATCCATCCATCCATCCATCCATCCATCATCCATCATCCATCCATCCATCTATCCATCATCCATCCATCCATCCATCCATCCATCCATCCATCCATCCATCCATCATCCATCCATCCATCCATCCATCCATCCATCCATCCATCCATCCATCATCCATCCATCCATCCATCCATCCATCCATCCATCCATCCATCATCCATCATCCATCCATCCATCTATCCATCATCCATCCATCCATCCATCCATCCATCCATCCATCCATCCATCCATCATCCATCCATCATCCATCCATCCATCCATCCTCCTTCCCCCAGCCCCAGTCTGTCACTGACTCACAGAACCATTAAGGTTGGAAAAGACCTCCAGGATTGTTGTGTTTGACTGAACACCACCATGAGCTAAATCATGGCACCAAGTGCCATGTCCAGTTTCTTTTTGGGCACTTCCAGGAGTGGTGTCTCCCTTGCTTCACTAAGCAACCACAGCTCTCCTTATCCCTCTGGCCACCAGCTCTATGAAGGTGCCATGTCCTGTGGTTAGGAGAAGAAGAAATGGGTTTTCTGCAAGGAGCCAGCCTGGAAATTTGAGATGTAAGAGTTATTTGCACAGGAAGGCACATCTCTGTGCTTTACTCTTGTCTGACTTAATTTAGCTGTGGATGTTCAGAGTGAGAATGCCTCCACCTGAACTGGCTGTGTTCCAGAAATAAGTGCCAGAATTTGAGTTTGTGTCCTATTTTTACATGTTCAGTACACTTAGGTGTGGCAGCAGATTCTGCTGCCAGAATCTGAGTTTGTGTCCTATTTTACATGTTCAGTACACTTGGGTACTCTTCAATTTGTCCAACCCATCGTGTTAATTATGGCTTTAAAATGCTGGTATCTTTTGAATGGCTATAAGAGGCCCCTAAATTATAGATCAGATGGATTGTAAATGTCTAATTATGGTTAAATGAAACCTCACTATCATCTGCTCTAGAAAAGGAATAAAGCTAGCCAGAGAAGAATAAGAAAAAAAGAGATACTTTTGTTCACAGTAATGTAAAAGAAAATGTCAAAATTGTGTGTCACTGTGATCAGCCATTTAACAGATGAATGGTCTTGACTTACTTAATTGACCTTACTTTTAAATTCTTATTTTTATTCTGGTTTTATGTGTAAGCATCAATGATTTAAGTGGAATAGATGTAAATGTATGAAATAATTTCATAGAAATCAAACATATTGCCCATTGAAGGATATCCTATCAGAAGTTGTTTAGTTGAAATAACAATCACTAGAGTCCCATAGATTTGTTTATATATCCTGCTTTTACTGACCATCTAGAAACACAAAAGACTCTTGAAAGCAGGTCCTGATGTCCTTTATCTTACATCCTGTCCTTTATTTTACATTCAGGTCCTGATGTCCTTTATTTTACAAATCGGACACCGTGCTCATTCTTGACTTCAGGAAAGGTGCTTAAAAAACCCTTTTCTTTTAAACTGTTTTTTCAGAGCTCCCTTTACCTCCCTGTTTCGGAGGGTGTAAATGAAAGGGTTCAGCATGGGAATAACCACAGTGTAGAAGATGGAGATGATGTTGCTCTTGCTGGGTGAGGATGCAGCTCCAGGCTGAGCGTACATGAAGAACACTGTCCCAAAGAACAAGCAGATTGTCACCATGTGAGAAGAGCAGGTGGAGAAGGCCTTGTGCCTGCCTTCAGCTGAAGGCATTTGGATGATTGTGGCGATGATATAACCATAGGAGACAAAAACCACCAGGGCAGTGCCCACAATTATTGGTCCACACACAGCCAGCATTACGAGCTCATTGACAAGGGTGTTGGAGCAGGAGGTGTGGATCACTGCAGCAACTTCACAGAAGAAGTGATTTATTTCTCTGTGCCCACAGAAGGACAGACTGAAGGTGAAGCCTGTCTGGATGGTGCAGTTGATGCAGCCTGACAGATAGGAGCCCACCACCATGAGCACACAAAGCCTCCTGCTCATGATGACCTGGTAGAGCAGGGGGTTGCAGACGGCAGTGAAGCGATCGTAAGCCATCACAGCCAGGAAAAAAGCTTCTGTTGTGCCAAAGAGAGAGAAGAAGAACATTTGGGAAGCACAGCCAACGTAGGAAATGCTCCTTCTGCCCAGCAAGAATGCCAGTGCTGCCCTGGGAGTGATGACAGAGGAGTAACAGATGTCCAAGGTGGACAGGTTCTCCAGGAAGAAATACATTGGGCTGTGCAGGTTGGGGTCCATCCTGATGATGAGGATCATGCAGATGTTTCCCACCACAGTGACAAAGTACATTGTGCAGAAGAGAACTGAGAGGAGGACTTGGGATCCTGGGTGGGATTTGAACCCCACCAAAATGAACTCACTTATCCTGGTCTGGTTTTCCATCTTTGCTTTCCAAAAGGAAATGAGGATGCAGTGGATTGCAGATAGTTTGCCTGGAGAAGCAATTGTATGAGAAGACAACAATATATGATATCATTATATAAGATATCAATATATATTATATCAATATATATCTCAATATGTGATATCAATACATATGATATCAATACATATGATATCAATACATATGATATCAATATATATCTCAATATGTGATATCAATACATATGATATCAATACATATGATATCAATACATATGATATCAATACATATGATATCAATATATATCTCAATATGTGATATCAATATATATATATGATATATGAAACATAAGAAATATAAGTTAATAAAATTAATGCTCATGATAAATTATATGTATTTATTATAATTATTATATAATTATATGTATAATTATATAAAATAATAGAAAATAACATTTTAGTATTTAAAATATTAATATAATGTAAACAATATTTATAACTATAATATTATAAGAATTGTTAATTAGATATAATTAATTAAAATAATATAGAAGATATTAACATAATCATTCATATTAGTAATAAATATAAATAACAAATTCATATATATCAATATTTTTATAATAATTATGATTGATATATAATGTAATATATTTTATATAGTATATACCATAATATATTAATTATATTATATTTATATTATTATAAAATATTTATTAATTAATAAATTAAATGGGATATGGAAAAAAGTATAAAATTTATTGATATATCATATCTGCAGATTTTTGTCAACTATTACAGGGTAATTTGTCAGCTAATAATCCTGTAATATTATCTTCAGTATAAAGAAACATTCTGCATGCAGCTTATCCAACCTATTTTAATTTAATAAACTTTACAACCAACTAGGAACAGACATTTCATTCTACAGTTGAAGACCTATTTCAGATTTAACTGGCAGAAAAAAATTTCACCCTAAGATTGCAACTAACCCACACGATTACTCTTCCCTAAACAAAAGAACAAGGAAAAATGCTACTTCAGATGATGCAAAACAATTGAAAATATGAGACAAGAAATGTTTTAATGTAGATAATTGTTTAAAAAAATTCCAACTCTATTATTTTCTAAAAAGCTGAGTGACAGAAATGGTATTTTATTTGCTTTGCTGTCATTTCCATTAGATCCTTTTTCTTAACCAGCATGTACCTAATCTTTTAAAAGCATTGAATTAATTTTTAACAATTTCTCCAGCTTTCCCTCCATGGTCCTTGAAATGCAACCTCACCTCTAGGTACCCTCAGAAGGTATTTAATATATTTAATCCTTTGTTCTATTTAATCCGTTGTTCTTATTTACCCACAAGTCTTAGGAAAGGGAAATAAATTTGGAGAAAGAATTTCTCTTTGCATAACCTTGCTCATCAAATATTTTTGCTACTTTTCCTGGGGATTTTTATGTGCAGAGAGCTCAGGTTTAGGCAGTCAGCTCAAGCATCCAGTCAAAGCCTTTTCAAGCTTGTTGGGATTATTTCACAATCCCTAAAGCTTCCCATATTGTCAAAAGGGAGAAATAGATGCATCCACATTGTGATTCTTCTAGTCTCACCCTGCCTCTTCAAAACAGGGGAAAAACTGTCCCTTAGAAGTAGCTGGTTTTGATAAAAAAATTAATAAAGCCAGCCAGAAGAGAATAAGAAAAAAAGAGATACTTTTGTCCACAATAATGTAAAAGAAAACATCAAAATCCTGTGTCATTGTCATCAGCCATTTAACAGATGGGTGGTCTTGGCTTATGTCATTGACCTGATTTTTAAATTCTTATTTTTGTTCTGGTTTTATGTGTAAGTGTCAATGGTTTAAATGTAGTAGGTGTAAACTTATGAAATATAATTTCATAGAAATCAAGCATATTGTCCACTGAACGCTATTCTACATCCTATCCAAAACTGTTGTGTTGAAATAACAATTACTACTGCTTGAAGACAATGCTTTTTTAAAGAGGGCAACAAACACCTCAGCTAAGAAGGAAGATGCTGGAGATACTTTTTAGCCAGTGAGAAAGGAAGATTTTTGATTCACCTGAGAAGTCTCTGGATCTGTCTGCCCCTTGCTTGATCAAACAGAAAGTCTAGAATGCAGACACAATAAAAACTGGCTTCCTGATAAATGTCCTTAATTTCCAGAAGAACTAACTGTATACATAAGCCCTGATTACTACATTCTATATAATGAAAAAAAAGAGCAAACAGAAACTCTTAATCCAGTTCTGTCACCACAATTAACAAAGCAAGGCTCAGATTTCCCACACCACAATACACACATACCTTGCAGTACAGTTATTAAAGCCAGGTTTGGTTTTTTTTGGAATTCAGGTTTCTTGAACACATTGCCAAAAAATACTGAACATTTTTTCTACTCAGCTGATTTTTCTCTTGTAACCAATACATCACTGGCCTTTCCTCTACTGCTTCTAAGAGCATTCTCCTTAGCATGTTGCTTATATATACTTTAATAAGTGTACATAAAAAACACCAGGGATTCAGTTTCCAGAGTCCTGGACCTTCACAGCAGACATCTGAAATCTCAAATGAGATATTTTTCCCTTGTGCCATTTTCCTTTGCCTGCAAAATAAGAAAAATATAAGGAATAAAATAACAAACACAAACAATAAAGTGTAAAGCTCTTTCTGTGTGTCTTCTGCCCCTACTTTTTTCTCTGCTTCTTATGCAGAACCCTTCCTGCCCCTTGTAGATTTTTTTTTTTCTGCTAAACAAAACACTGTGGACCTAATCAAGACCTCATTAACCATTAGAATCTGCTTCCTTGTGTTGTAGTTGAGACAGAGACAACACAAAGCCACACACTCCATTTTCAGAAGGCTTCAAACTGGTTTTATTATGGCTTCAAACTGGTTTTATTATAGCTTCAAACTGGTTTTATTATAGCCTGGATGCTTTTTCTACATTCTTACAAAGCTCATAAGTTTACACTTTACTCATTGGTCACCAGAGACAAACAAAGTGCTCATTGGTACAGGCAGTTGATGTTTCTCTTATTTATCCTTCTTTCTTTCTTGGTTTCTGTGTCAGCAGCCTTGGTAGGAAATTCTTTCAGGGGTAAACATGGATCCTCTCCTCAAGCTGCTCTGTGGCTCACAGAAGTCCCTGTAAAACCTCTTCCAGATTATCAAAATAGAACAGACACCCTTGCCTTCTCCCCAGGCAATAATGCTTCTTTTCTCTGAACAAAAGCAAGTTTTCACACCATGTGTTCTCTTCTCTGCCTCCAGGAGTGCACTCACCTCTGACACTGAGCAGTCTGGTCCAGGTGAGGGCCCAGCCTCGAAGGGAACCCTGCTCTGGGGTGAGCAATCACCCCAGGAGGGGAAAAACATCTCCCAGCTCCTGTTTGGGTATCTCACACACCCAGGACATGGCTGCTTTCCAAAAAGCAAACTCGCATTCTTCTCAGCACTGGAGTGTCACATTCAGTTACAGCAAACTATATTCAATTTTCTTTGTTTTGGCATGTGGTTTTAAATAAATCTGCATGAAATAGATGTTTCTGTTCTTGATATAACGGCTTCCCAAATGTTGTGAGTGACAATTGATCAGTGTCCTCTAAACCCAGACTATCTCACATTTGCATACATTCCTATCAGTATATCTTATCTGCAGGCAGAGAGTGAGATTAACAGAAAAGTTTCTCAAAAGCTGAGATTGGACTTAGTTTTGCCTTCTTTACTTGTGGGTAGTGACTTATTTGCAGTACTTTAAAGGTACTTGACTTTCTGAAAGTGTTTATTAGGAAAACTTCCAGAAATAAGCCTAGATGCAAGAGGGAACTTGCTTTCTCAAAAGGTTTGTGTCAGACTTTTCTGTATTCTCTCCTTCCCTAAGGAACCCCTGTTGAATAGGTTATGAATTATTTGTTTCAGGTTATCTAAGAATATTATTAATAGTTTACATAAAGCCCATAATAATTGGATGGTAATCCTCTTCACAGTGTATTTGAAGGATTTCCCTGACATTATCTCAAAACAATCACTTCAGATCGGTGCTTTAAAACCAGTCAATGTGTGTAGAGAAATCACTGCATTAAAGGAACTTCAAAGCTTGCAAAATTTCATTTAAAAACTCATGAAGGAGTTGTGGAGCTGAGACAGAGGCCAAGTGACAATGCAGCTGTAGCATGTGAATATTCACATTATACCTTCTCTAATGCCATATTAGAAACATTTTCCTCTTCAGAGGATCCTTTTATCCTACACCAGGAATCTAAGAATGTTACAATTATCCATCCTTTTCTGCTGCCTATTTCTCTCAAGGGATAATCACAAAATCTTGGACTAAATTAATCACATCTAACTGATTTTCACATGCATTTTACAGTGTTTTCTGGACTCTATTCCATCTAGAGCAAACAAATCTGGGCTTTATTTTCCAGCATTTCCAAACACCTTTAAAAACAGAGCAGTCATTCAGCTGGAGACTTTTAAGAAAGGGTGACAGCATAGATTCTTAGGGGGAAAACAAGCAAAAAAACCCCAAACCCACACATCTCATGTCAAAACCATAGTATATACATAAACATATCAAGGTTTAGTTCAAGAAATATGAGCAGTGGTTGCATGAATTAAAGTTTGGACCTCCTGACTTCATCTCCTCAGCGCTCCCAGGGGATCTTCATGAGCAAAGCCCCTTCTGTGGGACTCTCCAGTTGATTTCTTTGGTGTCTCTTCTGCAAGTAAAAGTCTTCCTCATGGCAACCCTGACTTCCTTGTTTCTAAGGCAATATATGAGAGGGTTCAGAAGTGGCACAACCACCGTGTACAGGACTGACACCAGCTTGTTGGCACGGTAGGTGTACATGAGCTTGGGGTGGGCGTAGGTGAAAAGAGTGGTGGAGTAGAACAAAATCACCACGGCCAGGTGGGAGCTGCAGGTGGAAAAAGCCTTTTGCCTCCCCTGGGAAGAAGGAATCTTCAGCACAGTGATCAGGATGCAGATGTAGGAGGCCAGCACAGCGCACAGAGGCAGCATGATGACCAGCAGAGCCAAGGTGAAGTCCACGAGCTCGGCCAAAGAGGAATCGCTGCAGGAGATGTTCAGGAGGGGGGAAATGTCGCAGAAATAATGATGGATTTTGTCCACATCACAGAACGAGAGCCTGGCTATAAAGCTCAGCTTGATGGAGGAGGTGGTCAAACCACACATCCAACAGGCAGCCACCAGCTGGGCACAGAGCTTGTGGCTCATGAAGAGGGGGTACCTGAGGGGTTTGCAGATGGCCACAAGGCGGTCGTAGGCCATCGCGGCCAGCAGAACGTACTCCGTGCAAACAAGAGTCACAAAGAAATGCAGCTGTGCCATGCAGCCCTGGAATGAAATCCTTTTGTCACGAGACAGGACATCTGTGATCATCTTTGGCTCAATGACAGAGACATAGCAGATCTCTAAGAAAGACAGATTCCCTAGGAAGAAATACATGGGTTTTTGCAGGCTGTGGTTATTTCGGATGGCGAGAATGATAAGGAAGTTTTCCAACACAGTTAATAAATAAGCCAGAAGTAAAGCAGAGAAGAGAAGCAGCTGCAGTTCACCAGTGGTTGGAAAACCCAGGAGAATGAAATACAGGACTTTGGTTTCATTCCTCCCACCCATTCTGCAGAAGAAAGATGAACCTTATCCACCTGCAATAAATTGATACAACGGCACCTGACTACCAGGCTTAAATTCATAGCCATAAGTTACACCACCACTTAAAGACTCTGTAAAAGCTCAGTCATATTTTTTTTGCTGGGTTTTTAGAAATGAACTTTGTGAAATTTATCTGCTCAATGCAGGATTTTTCATTTTAAAAATTAAAGCATCCTTTTTAATTTATATTTCATGGAGATAAATATACATTACAAAATTTTGTGAAATGTATGTGCTCAATGCAGAATGCTTCATTTTAAAAATTAAAGCATGCTTTTAAATTTACATTTCATGGAGATAAATATACATTACAAATTTACATTTCATGGAGATAAATATACATTACAAATCTCACCTTAGACAAATAATGACTGATGCTAATATATTTTTCATCCAGTAGAAAGAAGTGACAGGTCATGAGCTTATAGACAGACATTCACATTTCCAATGCTTTAGTTTCTACATCTAAACATTTCTAAAGTTGTATTTTATATTTTCCAGGAACTCTAGGAGAAGTGTGAAGCACCACAAGGCTATATTCATTTTTAAAATAAAAAACCTCTCCAAACACACCTGAAGGAGCCCACTAGAGGTTTCTATATCTGGCTCTGAGCACACTTACATCTACACAAATCTATTGAGATGGTACACAGAGATCTCAGATACAGCAGAAGTGCAAGCAAATTCCAATTCTAGGTCTGGTTTGTTTGCAGCTAACTCAAATTAATCCTTCAAAAATAAGAGTGGCTCAGCCTGTGCTGCTAAAAACAAAACTGTCCTCAACCTTCTGTAGTGGGAATCCAGTGGTCCTGCAGAATGTGATCAGTAGGGTACAGCTGGATGTGGACTGATATGTCTGTGCTGTGATTTATACCAGCACAGAGAAATCAACTCTTTATTTACCTGTGGTGTCTCAGGAGGTCTGATTCAGAAATTGTAGTAGCCTCCCAATGGAAGCAATCACAGAAAGAGGAGGGATGTTATTGTTTCCTCTGTGATTCCATGCAGAGCAGAAGAAACTCTGAAGGTTTTTTTCCTGAGACACTGAACAATGAAAGAATAGCAGCTGTTGTCTGCGCATTTTTATAGGGCAGAGGAAAGTAAAACCATACCCTGAGGCAGAGGATATGGCAGTCTTTTACCAAAACATAATCTAGAAAAATATTTTAGTGCCCTAATCTAAATCAGTGACCTTAACTGATAATCACATTTGGAGTGAGTGATTTTGGATAAGTGTAGTTTCACCCACACTGGAGTTATGTGTACAATCTTCAGAGGCACAAATAGCCAAGCTATGCATTTTCTGAATTTTATAATACACTGCAAATATGTTCAGAGCAAAAGGAGGATCAGAGTTAACATTGATCTGTCCCCTGATGAGGTCAGCTGCCTCCCAAACAGAGCTGAGGAGCTGCTGCAGGACTCTGTAGCATGAAGAGTACAAAACCTGATGTGGTCCCCTCCATGCTGCCAGGGGGGAGCAGCTGTTTGTAAAACCTCCCTCCACTTGGTCTCATATTAATTAGATATCTTCCTTAAGCCAGAACCATGACTAAAATTACATTCATACAGTAAGAATATTGGGAGTTTAACATCTAGGAGAGCTGGAATTACAGCAGTTATTTGGCTGTTGGGGCATAGTTTGATTTATTTTGCAAATATGTAAGAATCTAGTGACATTTGACATACCCTATGGTGTGCTGCTGAATTCTAACTTCTGGCCAAAGCCACATGCTCAGGAATGTAAGGGCATCTCATGAAGAAGACAACTTTAAAATAATGTCAGTGCATGGAGAAGGGAGAGTAGTGTTAGTTCTTACCTCATTTCTGTTAGGCTGGTGAGGGTCCAACTACCATGGACCAATTTTGGGATCTGTAATTCCTGGAAATCTGTAATTCCTGGAATTTCCCTGCAATTCAAGGAAAATGTGGATGAACTAGAGAGGTGCTTACCAAGGCCTGCTAGGATGTGAAGATATGAGTCAGGGTATATGAAGCATGAAAAGAAATTATTGGGTTTGCTCAGTATGGGGTTTTGGAGGCTGTGCTGTGTTCTAACAGTGACAAGCTATAAAAAGGGGATAAAAACAATGATTTGCAACTCAGTAGCTGCTATTTAGGCCATTAGATGTGAGGTCAGAGCAGTGCTTAAGCAGCTTCTCTGAGAGATTTTAGTACCTCTGACATTTTCAGCTCTCAGCTAGACCAAGGCACACAAAGCTGATGTAACAGAGACATGGGCAGAGTTATGCTATAAAAATATAATTATAAATATATTCACATGTGGAATAGTGCACCCAGCTCTTGGCTCCCCAGTGAAGAGTGACATGGATCATGTGCAGAGCATCCATTCCCTGGATAGAACTGAACATATTGCTTAAAATCTGCTCTGTGGGTACCTACAGCCAAATTCACTTCCCTAAACATCCATTTCTGTTGGATGCCACAGACTTTTCCATTTAACATCCAGATCAAAGAATCATACAAAAACTTGGGTTGGAAAAACAGCTTTAATTCCAGAATATATTAATTCACTCTGCTGTCACAAACATATTTCAGGGTGGTCAGGTTTTTCAGGGACTTGTCAAGTCAAGCTTTGCAAAGCTCAGAGATTTCATGACCTTTCTGGGGCTGTGTTGTGGTGCTTCATCACTCTATCTTATCTAAATTTAATTGGTTGGAACAAGTTCCTGTTGCTTTTGTCTTTTCAGTCATGCCCAATTAAGAATTGCCTCTACCTCCTCTCTAACCCTCTCCAGGTGGTGGCAGACTGCAGCTAAAAACCTCCTCAACGTGGTCTTTTCCAGACTTAAAATACTGCTCCCATCTGTCTCTGGGTGTGCTCCCACCCTTCTGTCATTTGGTAACTCTCTGCTGGAATGTCCATTTTGTCCTTCTCCTAGAGGGAAGTGCCAAACTGGACACAGTAATGTTGGTGTAATCCTGGGTAACAAACAGAGCCCAGGATCATTTACCATCAGGCCTGCTGGTGCAAGATTTTGTGTCTGTGTGTTAAATTACCTTCAAATTCTTCCTGACCCTCTCCTTTGAATGTTCCTTTAGGAAGGATCTGTGTTTAGGCTACTGATTGTTCTCTCAGTGCTTATATCTCCTTAAGTAATGTAGAAGGACCACAGGAAAATAACATTTAAAAATCAGGAGGCTCATTTAGCATTTAAAATGGAAATTGAATGGTGCAAATTAACCCTCTTCCCCAAACATAAATGTTTGGTTTCTGAATCTGAGCTACTTTCCAAAGTTTTATTTGAAGTTAATGAAGAAGAAACTTCTCAGTGGTGGTTCATGGTCTCCTATCACAGCTATCTAAAATGACTGCTTTTATCTGAATTACTGAAGTTCCCATCCTCGTTCCCATGAAGAAAGTTGACATAACTGTTTATTTGGTGTCTCAAGTTCTTGAATCCTAGTTTCATATTCAGTTGAATCAAGGTCAGAATGCAATTTTATTCTTTGATGCATACCCAAAAAATACATTCAGAGAAGACAATTATGTTTATTGCCTTTTCCACTCCTCGGGAATGATGAGTGATGTGTTCAGTTAGAAAAACCATTTACATTCACATAGACTCAGAGATTTTAGCTGAACATGCAGATTAACTCCAATAACCAATAACTGGAGAACCCCAATAACCCCTTCTGTCAAAGCAAAAATCTTATTAGGTTTTCATAGGATTCAGACACATTCAGCTGGAAGATCATCCCCCAAGCATTCATTAGTGATCAAAGGCAGAAACTCTGGAGAGAGCAGTCCTGCTACACAAGACCTTCAGTAAAGTGTCCTTCACCTCCTGGTTCCTCAGGCAGTAAATGCATGGGTTTAGCATTGGGGTGACAATGGTGTAAATGATGGAAACCAGCTTGTTGAGATCCCTGGAGCCTGCGCTCCTGGGCCTCGCGTACATGAACAGAGTGGCTGAGAAGAAAATGATGACCACAGCCAGGTGAGAAGCACATGTGGAGAAGGCTTTCTTCCTGTTCTGAGCCTTGGGGATGAGCAAAACAGTTCTGATTATGCAGGTGTAAGAAACGATGATGACAGAGAGGGGCATCAACAGAGTAAACAAGGCCGAGATGAAATCCACCGTCTCGGCAAGGCGCCGCTGGGCGCACGAGAGGTTGAGCAGCGGGCTGATGTCACAGAAGAAGTGGTTGATGACCCCAGAGCCACAGAAGGAGAGCTGGGAAATGAAGGAGACCTTGAGCACAGCTATGAGGAAGCCGAGCAGCCAGGAGGCCGCGGCCAGCTGCAGGCAGGCCCTGTGGCCCATGGCGAGGGCGTAGTGCAGCGGGGCGCAGATGGCCACGTAGCGGTCGTAGGCCATGGCAGCCAGCAGGACACACTCAGTGCACACCAGGGCGATGAAAAAGTACAGCTGGGCCATGCAGCTCGTGAGGGAAATGTTCTTGTTCCTCACCACCAAGGTGAACAGCAGCTTGGGAACGGTGACTGAGATGTAGCAGGCCTCAAGGAAAGCGAGGTGGCCCAGGAAAAAGTACATGGGCTTGTGGAGCTGGGGGTGGGTGATGATCAGAGTGATGATGACCATGTTCTCGGTGACAGTCAGCAAATACACAGCCAGGAAAATGACAAACAGCACAGCCTGCAGCTCTCTGCTGGTGGGGAATCCCAGGAGGATGAACTCTTGGATGTGGGTATCATTTTCTTGTGCCATGATGACCTTGAAGACATGGAATGTTGTAGTATTTACATTTTCTAAGAAATCCCTTTGCTCAGCATTTTTCTCCTGAGAAGCTGAGAAGCCTCAGAGAAAAAGGAAAACAATAATTATTTTATCTGCTTCTCCTGTGTTTTGCTCATCTGGAATGTGTTTGGAAATTGTTTACTCACAGGTGATTGTTTCATTGGATTCTGGTGTGAGTTGTTTTGACTCATTGGCCAATCAGTGCCAAGCTGTGTCGAGACTCTAAAAAGAATGATGAGT